TATTTACACATTTGTATAGCAAATAATGTTACATCAATTGATTAGTACTGTATTTGATGTAAAAATAAAAATATTTTTTTTTACTAAATTGTTTATTTAATTTCAAAAAAAAAATATTGTAAATAATTTCTAAGTTATTTAATTTAAAATAAAAATCATTTTTTAAATTTCTAAAATTAATCAAACATTTATTAGTATATAACTATTTAGATAAACTCTAAAAATAAATTCAATTATAAGTTTAGTCAATCAATTGAAATATTTGAAATAAAATTGTTTTTATAGTTTTTCATATATAAATCTATTTTTAAAATTTTAAAATTAAATAAAAATGATTTTTGTTATGACATTAATTATGCAAACATTCAATAATAATAATAATAATAATACAATTTATTATAACTAATGATTAGTTATTAAAGTATTTAAATATTTTATTTTTTGACTTAAAATGACATTTGAATTAAATTGACAGTCAATTTGTATTATAAATAATAAATGTTTTGATAATTTTTAAAGTTTTAAAGACTTCATTAAATTTTATATTATTTAAAAAAAAATAATCTTTAAGCTAATTAACTATTTAAATATTTAACAATATTTACTTTATGTTTAATGTAATAATTATGCAATTTTTGAAATTTTAAAAATAAGTATTAATATTTTATAGTTTAAATAGTTTATTAAACTTATTTAATTTTTGCTTATATTTTTTAATTTTAGCAAATAAATTAACCAATCAAATAATCAAAAATATTTAACTATTTTTTGTTGTTGATTGGATTTATTTATTATTCCCATTATAAACATTTAAATATTTAATTTTAAAAAAAACATCAAATATTAATATAAATAAAATTGTATTTTTATAATTATATAATAAACTCATTACTGATTATTATAAGTTTTTTTTCACTTATACTTGCAGTTAATATATTAAATATATAGTAATAATAATAATATTATTATTATTATTAATTGTATAATAAATATATATATAATAGTAACATATAAAACAAATCAAAAAAACAAATACTTATATATATATATAATATATATAACTATTGTTATATGTATATATATATATAATATTAAAACAAATCCTAATGTATAGTACAGTATAATTAAGTAGTAGTAGTAATATAATAGTTATTATACTCATTGAATATTTGATACTATTTTTAATATTTTTATTAGTAATATAAATGTAATATTATTTTTGTAAACCCTTAAAACATTTAATGTATTTTTATGTCTAATTTATTAAATATATATATAATTTATATTTGTTTTTATTGCAATCTGTTATTATATTACTGTATATATTACAAAACATTAAAATATATTATTTATAAATTTATTTGGGATTTTTTTAATTTACAATAATAATAATAATAATAATAATAATAATAATAATAATAATTTCTTCAATACTTAACAAATAAGTTGAATTGAAAATAAAATAATTTATAAATTTCAATGAATAAGATTTTTATTTAAACAATAATATTACTGAAATTTATTCAACAAAAAAAAACTAATTACTTACTAATTAAACAAATTATAATTTTTTTTCAACAGTTAGTTTTTAACTAAAAAAATATATTTTATATTAAAAATTTATTTTATAAAATCATAAAATATGTAAAACTTTTAAATATTTTATTTAATAATTAGTAATGTTTTTTTATTAACATAAAAAAATTAAAATATAATATTATATTTTCTATTACATTAATATTTATAAATTAATTAATTGAAAATTTATTATAAATCTTATTTCTAATTGTAAATGATATATATATATAAATATTCAAATATTATTAATATATGCCTTATAAAAATAGGTGATAAAATTCAATTTATAATAATATATCATACAATATACCATATAATTAAGTGGAAAAATATTTTTGTTATTAAATATTAATATTGTGTGTTAAGTATAGCATGTTTTTTATTTAATTTTTTTTATAACAATGCGTGACATTAATACCTTAATCAATAAATTTTTTTTAAAAAAAATAATAAATTTCATTAAAGAAAATAATTTGCAATAATTACTAAATTATTTTTAAAAATGATATTAAATGTACACAACTTGTATTCAAAACATGTCTTTAAAAAAAACTAAAAATATAATGCAATTTAATTAATATATAATTTATTTCACATTTCAAACAGATATATACAGTATATACAGTATATATATACAGATAAAAGACAAGTCTATTATTATATTGAAACCAAAAGCAAACAAAAAAAAACTAACAATTTTTTTTAAACAATACTTTATTATATACCAACAAAAACAAAACAACTATTGAAAAACATAGTTTAAGTGATTATACATATATAAAAAAAAAATTTAGGTACAGTATGGATAGGCTATCAAATAATTTATTAGTATATGTTTTTTTTGTGGACAGTTAGTTATCTTTTTTTTTGTACTATACTAGCAAATAAATATATTTAGAATATGTTAGGTTAATGGCACTGGGATATAGATAAAGTAGATAATATATATATATTATTAATAACCTGCAACACATAAAACTTTAAACCCTAACCTCAATAATAATAAAATCTATTTAAAATGATTATTTGATGGTATGGTTGGACGATTCAATTTAGCTATAACTATAGTATTACCGGAGAGCACCGGTAGGCCATACATGTGATCAAAATATGGATAAAACCAATTGCATTTGTATAATAAGCTAGCTTTAAATGAGCTTGCTCCATTTTTTTTTAAAAAATATCCTAAACAAATTGATGCTAACAAATATAGATCATAGCCTATGTATGTAAGTTAGAGATGGGCAAATAGAAAGTTTCTAATAAATTTCCCCGAGAAAGTTTCTAGAAAATTTCTCATGAATAAATTTCTATAGAAATTTAACTTTACTATTATACTATTGGATCCCCATATTTATAGTTATTGTAATATTATAGATATACAGTAATATTATACTATACATAATACATTATTTAAACATTTAATTAATTTTGTAAAATTGCATTCATCATTTTATTATATATATCATACTGTAGTTTTAATTTAATTAATAATTTTACTCTAATTAAGAATTAAAATACTAATAATAATATTTACGGTAATGTATTGTTATATGATAGCAAATATAGAGATAACAAAATTAAAATGGGGATCCCATAGATAGAAATTTCTTTTAGAAACTTTCTAGAAATTTCTCAATTATTTTATAAATTTCTCTTTTTTGCCAACACTAATGTAAGTATATAAACCCCATAAACCTATTGATAATATTTATATATTATAAATACTGTATTATTATTATTATTATTATCTAATAGATCACTAAAAATAAGATTATATTTGTTTTTATTATATACACATACAGTAAAGTCTATAAATATTTATTATAAAAGGATAGAAATAAAAAGTAAATAAAAAAAGTATTAATAATAATTACAACTATTATATAACAAAAGTTTTTTTTGTTGAAAAAAAATATTTATTTTCAAAATTACAGATAATTATAATTGTAAACTATTAATAGTAAAATACTATATTTAAATTTATATATACTGTATATATATTGTTAAAAACTTTTAGTTAATTTTGATTTTTATAAATAAATTAATAATATTTATTTTTTTTGTAAACTATTAAATTAGTTTTTAAACTTATTTATAAACATAATATAAATGATTTTAATATAACTATAATTACCAGAGATATAGTCAAAGTTTATGTGGAATAACATACAGTAAATACAAAATTGCATTACAAAAAAAATGAGGCATAAAAATAATTGATGCAAACAATAGGTTTGATATTTATTTATTTTTTTTTGGTCACACATTTCAATTAATTATAAATTATAGATAACGATAAAATAGATATATATATAAATATTGTTTGTGTATTAAAAGCAATTGTATTTTTTTTAAAATTTATGAATATTTTGTTTATTAATAGTAATGGAAAATCTAATAAATTATTAGTTAATTATTTTTAAAAAATCAATTAATATTTTATATAAACTAAAAATTACCATTAGTTTGGTGGTAGTAACTAAACTAGTAAATAGTAATTTGTTAAAATAAAATAATTTTTTAAAATACAAAAATTTTATACTATATATTAATTGTGAAACAAAATATTATTGTATATATATATTTGTATATAAATTATATTATATAAGTATATAAACTAATGTATATTTTTATAATATAATATAACATTTAGTGTTAATGACAGACAATATTGAAACTATATATATTCAATATAAACGGTATATAAATGATATATATATAGGCGTAAAATAAATTGAACCATAAGTTATGGCCGATAACTATGATGACTATAACTATTTCAACAACAAAAAAATACACACAAAATATATGATTGATTGAAATGACCAGAAAATATACATACATTTTAGTCAAGTGTTTGGCGGAAATAAATCATATCATTGATGACAATAATATTATTATATATATATATATATATATACATATAATGGAAATATTTAAAAAAAATAATTGTATTTCATAAAAATATTGAATAAATTTTTAATTTTAATAAATTTAATAAATCAGAAAATTTTTACTAAAATATCCTTTAATATATACTGTAATTTAATAAAACATATATTGATATTAATATTTACATACAAATTATTTTTTAAAAAGTATTATTGAGTGTATTATAGTATTATTAACATCAATAAATAAATCTATAAATAATATTATTAATATTATTATTTATTATATATATATATTTAGTGAAAACCTAATTAAATAATTTTAATATAATTTTTTACTCATATGTAATGACTATATATTGTTTAGTAATTAATTAATGTGTTAAAAGTAATATTAAAAATGGTAACAAATAATTAAATAATTGTTTATTTGTTTGTCTGACTATTTTTCAACAAAAATTATTTTTTTATAACTATAATTTTGTTTTGAATTATTTATATATTTAATAATAATAAAAAATAATAATAATGTCGACAACACATCAATCATCATATTTGATATACAGGGAGACAACTATTGGCCGCACATTGATTGACACATTAATTGAATTAAGTGATGTATGTATTGAAAAAAAACTAAATTTTTTTTTAAAAATTAAATTATTATTTTTATTAATATATTATTATTAATCAAATAGATGTACACATTTAGCCACAGTTTGCTTAACTGTGTGCTCAACAAGTTTGACCAATCAATGAACGATAATATAGCTATCATTGACCAGTTATGCCAAACCAGTGATAATAATATTTTTAACGCTAATTGTCGACAATTGGATCTAACATTTCAGGTATACTAATACTAAACTATGTATTGTTTATAAATTGTATAATTATTTTCAAATACATACTCTATTAGGCAAACAAACTAAATGTCTACCGATTTCATAGTAATGTATGGACACTGGTGTTAACCGATGTCCAGTTTATATGCTATAAACAATTGGTGATTAGTGCCGATAAAGTCAAGATTGTGGCCATTGGTGGTGTCGACAGTAGTAGTAGTAGTAGTGGTAAGGGATCGGCAGCTAAACGCAAACGACTGGCCAATCAACACAGTGTTAAACACGAAAATGTTTCATCCGATGACAGCAATTGAACAATAATTATTGAAACTATTTATTTTAATAATAAACTAAATATTAAAATTAAATAATTATTAAAACAAATTAAAAAAAAATCTAAAAACAACAATAATTATCGAAATTATTTATTAAATAATAAACTAAATATAAAAATCAATAAATTATTAAAACAAATAAACAAAAGTAAAAACAACAATAATTATCGAAACTATTTATTGAATAATAAACTAAATATTAAATTAAATAATTATTAAAACAAATAAATAACAAAATTATTTTGACTGTTTTTAAAAAATAAAAATTTATTTATAATTATTAGAATTAAATTTATTATTTCAAACAAGATTTTTCTCAATAAATAATATTACTATTAATTATAAGATATAATTTATATTACAGTTTATTATTATTTACAGTTTATATTAAAACTATTATTAATATATAAACTATTAGTGAGTAATAGTTTGCCATCTATTATGCTATGATTAAAATATATAATAAAATTTAATATTATATTTAATTTTATAACATTTAAAAATCTAAAAACAACAATAATTATCAAAACTATTTATTGAATATTAAACTAAATATCAAAATCAATAAATTATTAAAACAAATGAAAAAAAACTAAAAACAACAATAATTATCGAAATTATTTATTTAATAATAAACTAAGTATTTAAATTAAATAATTATTAAAACAAATAAATAACAAAAATTATTTTGACATTTAAATTAATAAAAAAAATTATAAATAAATTAATTAATTTATAATTATTAGAATTAAATTTATTATTTCAAACAAGATTTTTCTCAATAAATAATATTACTATTAATTATAAGATATAATTTATATTACAGTTTATTATTATTTACAGTTTATATTAAAACTATTATTAATATATAAACTATTAGTGAGTAATAGTTTGCCATCTATTATGCTATGATTAAAATATATAATAAAATTTAATATTATATTTAATTTTATAACATTTAAAAATCTAAAAACAACAATAATTATCAAAACTATTTATTGAATATTAAACTAAATATCAAAATCAATAAATTATTAAAACAAATGAAAAAAAACTAAAAACAACAATAATTATCGAAATTATTTATTTAATAATAAACTAAGTATTTAAATTAAATAATTATTAAAACAAATAAATAACAAAAATTATTTTGACATTTAAATTAATAAAAAAAATTATAAATAAATTAATTAATTTATAATTATTAGAATTAAATTTATTATTTCAAACAAGATTTTTCTCAATAAATATTATTACTATTAATTATAAGATATAATTAATACTTAAAGTTTATTATTATTTACAGTTTATATTAAAACTATTATTAATATATAAACTATTTTAGTGAGTAAGTGTGTGCCATCTATTATGCTATGATTAAAATTAATGATAAAATTTAATATATTATTTAACTTAAATATTGTTTAATTTTATAACATTTACAAATCAATCAATAATTATTTGTCTATAAAAAAAATATAATCATCATCATTAATATTATTGATTTATTAATAAACCATATAATTTTCTATTAAAAAAAATCTATTTGTTTTTTTTGTTGTTGAATATTATTGCATTATAGTTGTATAAAAAATTGTAAAACATTATGTATTTTTAAAAATAATTAATTTAGACTATTTAATACAATTTAATTTTTTTAATAAATATATATATTTATACAATATGTAAACACAAGTAAATTAAATTGAATAATAATATAGTAATTATATTTAGTATTTTTTATTTGTAATTTTACTTTCATCAAATTAAATATAAAAATTATATTATTAATAAGTAAATATATGCAAAAATGTTTAATGCTAAAATCTAATAGTTTTAAAATTAATAAATCAATGACAAAAAAAGTAAATTAAAAATCCATATATAAATTATATGCTGTATATTATAGCTATTATATATATATTTATAATGTTATATATATTATGGTATAATTACTTTCAAATATATATACATTCAAACAAAATATTATAACATTTATCTATCGATATATCTATAGTTTATTAAAATTACATAATAATAATTTATTTATTAGTAATTAAAAAAAACAAAATAATTTACTAAATTAAATTATTATTAACAAAATTATTTTATAATAAAATATTTTTAAAAAACAAACTTTAGCAAAATAATATAAATATATAAAGTAATTATACTAAATTTATAAAATAAACATTTAATTAAATTATTTAAAATAAATTATTATTTTAAACAATTCACTTTTTTAACTAAATTAAACATTATTTGATAAGTTATTTGTTATGTTTTAAAATATCCTAATTAATTACTAACAGTTTGTAAATTTTTTCAATTTAAAGTATAATTTTTTTAATAAGCATAATAACAAAAAAAACATAAATAAAAAATAATTAACTATAAGTAAAATTATTTAAATAAATTTTATATTTAATTATACCATTTTTAATTAATATTAAATAGTTTAGTCTTAAATCAATAATTATTATTTTTAAATCCAATATCAATAGAATTATAATATTTTTAAAAATAATTATAATATTTTATAAAATATTTTGCTTAATATTTACAGTATTTTGATTTACTATTTAAAATTATTATTATAATAATATTTTTAAGTTAATTTGAATCATTTGTTTTTTTACAAATTTGAGTATAATATTTGTTATAAATAGTAAATTGAAAATATTAAAATAATTTAATTGTTAAATAATATTATTTAAATATTGTTTACTTATCATAAAAATTATAAAAAAAAATATTTAAACAATTTTTTTTAAATAAAAATTAACAACAATTTAAATAATAAAAGTTATAATTAAATAATTTTTTTAAAATCAGTTTAAAACAGTTACATTAAGTAATTAATATTTTTATGTTGTGATAAAAATCAATAATATTTATATATTTTTTAATAAATATAAAATCAAACCAATAACAACACAAAATAAAATATCTGATTTATATTATTAATTCAATCAATATAATTTCTATGACAATATTTTATTTAAATGTAATATTTTATTAATATTTTTAATAATAATTATAATAATATATTTCTAATATATTATCAAGGGCAATGTTAAAAAAAACTAATGTTAATAACTGTTTCTAATTGTTTCTATAAAAAAAATTAAATCAATAAAATTGTATATATTTATTGATTGAAATATATTTATTTATTAATAATTGCAGACATAATAAAAAAATATTGAATAAAATATCAATATATATATATTAAAAATTTCCGATTAATTGATATAATCTGTAAACATTAAATTGCATAATAAATAAAACTGAGCATGTATAGTTTGTTTGAAAAAAAAAATTATTTTAACTTATTTATTATTATTATTTAAAAAAAATGAAAACTATTTCTATTAGTTAACTTAATGTTAAAATATATTTTAATTTTTTTTAATATTTTTATGATTACATGTTTTCTATATCATTGTTATATATATTTATCTGACATTTTGTTTCAATTATTTAAATTGTTATTTCATACAAATAAACATAAATAATAAATTATTATTATTATTATTTATTATTATTAAGTCTATAATATTGATTTTATATATTTATTATTAATATTATATATATTTTTTTGCAATCTGTTTATGCAATGTGTAAATGAATTTATTTTTATGCTATAGTTATGGCATTTATAATAAGTATACATAATATATATAAAACTTTTCTTTTTATTTATTTTTATTTTTATATAATAAAAATATAAGTTAAATGTATATCAATATATATATATATAAATATTTAAATCAACAAAACAAAAATGTTGTTATAAAATATACATGTATTATATACGGTATATATCTGTATAAAGTAAATAATATTTAATTTATTAAAATGTTTTTGTTTTCAAAGTATAATATTTATATTAGTTTAATAGTATTATTATTTATAAAAAAAGTTATTTTTGTTTTGCTTATGTAATTTAAAATATTAATTTTGATTTATTTTTTGTTGTGTGTGTGTGTGTGTGTGTGTGTGTGTGTTATATTAATATTAATAAATTATTTTCATTAACAAATAGTTGTATTGTTTGCAATGTTTTTTTTGTATTATTATTTATTATAATATTTGTTTAAATACTACTACTGTTTGTACATTTGTATTAATAATAATTTCAAGTAAAACAAATTAAAAATAAATATTTAATAATTTTTTGTTGTTGTTGTTGTTGTATTAATAATAATAATAATAATAAGTTATTAAAATAATTAAATATTTCAAATATAATATTGTTATAAATCTATGTAAAAAATAATTGTTAACAATATTATAATTACATAATAATAATTATAATACTACTGTATATTATTGTACAACTATTGATAAAATTTAATAATAATAATAAATTTTACTATTGAAAACAAAATTATAATAATTAGTATTATTATATAAATTTATAGTATTATACAAAACATTAATTTTTAAGTTATTAATATTTATGTTTATGTGATAATAATAATTCAAATATTTAGTTAAAATAATTTAAAATAAATAGTTTATATACTAAAAACACTATTCAACTATTTATTACATTACAGTTATTATATAAAATTATTTTTTTAAAAAAAACTAATAATTATCTAAAAATTATATTTATATATATTTAAAAACAATGACAACAACTAATGATAAACTATCGGTAGTTTATCAGTCAAAACACAGTTTTGCAACAATTATTAATTCAGACAATTGTTTTGGTAATAATAATAATACTAATAATAATAATAATAATAATGTTAGACCTGTCAGTGATGGACACCTATCTAGTAGTATGCCGTCCCCACCACCACCACCACAACCACCAGCACCTGCATCAGCAAAACGTGGACACCATAGGTCGCTGACTACCAGTGCCACAGCTGCTGCTGCCGACACCTACTATGGCACCGGTAGTTCAGACGATGATACTACACTAAGTTCATCGCTAATCGGTTTGGCAATGATCGTGATAATGACTGTCCTATTGATGGCTACCTTTCCACTGTCGCTATATTTTAGCTATATTATTGTACACGATCACGAAAAGGCAGTCATATTCAGGAACGGTAGACTCAAGTCAGGTATGATTTATGATAAAAAAAATATAACTTTAATTTGTATATTAATTTAGAAATTAAAAAAAAATAATATAAATAAAAAAGTAATAATTAATTAAATAAAATAAATTAAAATTCTCACTAATTATCTTAAACTTACAATTTTAAACAATTGTTATATATTTGTTATAATATATATAGTAATAAAATTTTTACAGTTTTTTAAATTAAATACCAAATAAAAATAAATTATTTTTATTATTAATATAATAAAAATTTATATAACGAACATCAACTTAATTAAATATAACTATTAATTATTAATTTTTTTTAAAATACAAATAATTTATTAATAATTAAAATTAATTAATTATATGTTGTGTAAAAATCATATAATTTGTTGCTTAGAAATATAAATTAAAATAATTATAATATATATAAATAATTACATTCAAATATAATATTTATAATAGTTATATACTGTATAAACTATAATAGTTATTATTTGTATAAAAGTTATATTTTGTTTTGTTTATGTAATTTAAAATATTTATTGTGATTATTAATTGATAATTATATTTTATTAAATTAAATAATATTAAATGATAATTATATTATATTAATGATATTAATATGTTATTTTCAATTATTAGATATTTAATCAAAAAATATTTAATTAATTAATAAATTAATATTTATTGATTGTATGTTTGTATGACTTACCAGTTCGGGGTTCAGGTCCGGGTCTGGTGTTTGTCTATCCCTATATCGATCGCTACTGTATTGTCGACTGTCGTACCGTTTGCTATGACATACCGGCACAGAAAGTCCTAACTAAAGACTCCCTAACTGTCGAAGTCGATGCCGTTGTACTCTATCGGGTATACAATGCAATCATTGCCGTAACCAATGTCCGCAACTACCGTCGGGCCACTGAACTGTTGGCCGCAACCAGTTTACGCAATCAATTGGGCACAAAAACATTGACCGAAATACTGGCCGAATGTTCACTGATTAACGAAACACTTCAAGTAATTAATTAATTAATTAATTAATTAATTAAACATTTAGTTTAGATATAATTATTTATTATTATTAGTTAATTAAACATTTAGTTTTTAGTAATAATAATTATTATTTATTATTATTAATAACATTATATAATTTATTTATTTTTGTTTTTTAGTATATAATATAAGTATATACAGTATATTGAAGTAAAATATAATTTAATTATCAAAAAATAATTATTAGTATATTATTAGTATATGTTTATGAAATTGACTAAATAGACTGATAAAAAAATTATAAACTTTATTATAAAAATTAATTAAGTTAAAATTAATTAATTAAGTAAACATTTAGTTTTTAGCAATAATTATTTATTATATTAGTAATAACATTATATAATTTATTTATTTTTGTTTTTTAGTATATAATATAAGTATATACAGTATATTGAAGTAAAATATAATTTAATTATCAAAAATAATTATTAGTATATTTTGTATGTTTATGAAATTGACTAAATAGACTGATAAAAAAATTATAAACTTTATTATAAAAAATTAATTTAATTAAAATTAATTAATTAATAGTTTTATTAATTAAGTAAATATTAGTTTTTAGTATAATTTTAGTATTTACTGTATATATAATATACTGTATATTGCAGTAAAATATAATTTAATTATCAAAAAATAATTATTAGTATATTTTTAGTATAAGTTTATGAAAATGACTAAATAGACTGCTAAAAAATTATTATAAAGTTTATTATTATAAAATAAATAATAATAACTAAATAACAAAAATATTATTAAAATTATGTTTCCGCAGAAGTTTCCTATTTTTATTAATATTTAATTTTTATTTTAAATAATAAAATAGAAATATATTATATAAGTTACAGTTTCTTTTTATTTTAAAAAATAGCTTAAAATTATTCATTAATAAATAAACTAATAAATAATTGCTATTTTTTAAACCCCTTATAATTTTTGTAAAAAAACTATAATTTTAATTTAATTATATTTTTATATACAAAAAAAATATTAATAATTTAAACACAAATCATTATAATTATAATAATAATAATATTTGTAATATTTGTAATATAGGTAATAATAATTATATACATATTTTTAGTAAATAATTATATATATATATTTACTAAATAATTATATAGATATATAATATTACTAAATAATTATATATTTTTTATTACTAATTAATTATATATTTTTTTATTACTAAATAATTATATATTTTTTTATTACTAAATAATTGTATCTATATATTCAGTTAACACTGGATACGGCTACCGATTTTTGGGGCGTTAGTGTCGAGCGATTGGATATTAAAAATGTGAAAATACCGGCAAATTTACAACACTCGCTATCATCGGAAGCCCAGGCCGTACGCGAATCGAGGGCTAAATGTATTCAGGCATCGGGTGAACAACAGGCCTCACAATCGCTACTATCGGCTGCCAATAGGTTAGACCCGATGGCCATACAGTTAAGGTTTTTGCAAACATTGAACAGTATTTCATTGAAAAATAACAACACTATTGTTATGCCTATACCTACTGAACTCAATTATTTGATTCATTAAAAAAATTAATAATTTAATATTTTTTTTTAATTTAATATAATTATCTAATAATTGAAAAATAAATACAAATTATTATAATAATAACATTTAAATTATTATTTATCAAAATATCAGTTTATTTAAATTATTTTTTTATATTATTATAAAAATTTTATTTGTAAAATACTAATAAGTAATTTGTTAAATAATTTATTAAAATTAAAACTCTTTATTAATAATTGATTTAATTAAACAAAAAATCTATATTTTTCATAAATTATTTAATAAATTATAATTGTTTTTTTTAAATTAATAATTTAAAATTTGTAAACTTAATCATTATTATGTATAACTATATTAATTAATAAAATATTTAGTTTTATAATTTGACAAAATAACGTTATAATTTGTTTTAAATTTTATTTTAAATAGCAGTTAGTTTTATATTTATATTATTAAAAATTAAATTATTTTATTTAATTAATAAATACATTTTAAAAAAGTATTTATTATGAAATTTTAAATAAATGCATATATCATCATTAATATGAGTATTTTAGATATTAAGTAATATATTTTTGTTAAATATATATTTATATTATTATTAATATTAATATTTAATAATTATTTTTACAAAATATTTTTTAGTTATTTTCTGGAAAATTATTCATATTTAATAATATAGTTTAATAAATAAATGAATATTAATTTTATTTAATTATTAGATTTTAATGATATATAAATTATATTTTATGATTATTAATTATTAATAAACAATTTAAAGCTTTAATTAAATTTGTTTTTACACTTTATTAGATATTATTTTTAATAAGGATTAAAAATAAAAACTAAAATTTAAAAAAAATCTATTCAAATAGTTAAGAACACAATTAACTGAAAATATTTTTTTTTGTATATTTTAAAAAAATTTATTTTATATTTCAAATGTATTTTAAATTATAATTAATTTTCTTTTAATACTATATTTAATTGATAATAATTAATTACTATATTTTTAAAAATGATAACTAAATAATATATTTTGTTTATTATTATTTAATTCAAATTAGAGTAATAATATTTTTTATGTTTGGTTAGATTAGGTTATAATTAATTTATTTTACTATAAATATAAATATAAATATAAATAAATATAAACTATAAATACAATATCAATATTATAAATACAAAAAATATTTTTTGCCTTATTTTAACCAATTTTATTGAATAATATTATTTTACATTAAATAATAAACTCTATGTTATATCTATTTTCAAAGAAAATAAATATATTTATTGTTTATTTTATAAAAATTAGTTTAGAAAAAAATGGACAAAAATTTATAATTTTTTCTAAAACTTATTATTTAAGTTAAATATAAATATATATAATAGTTAATAATAGTATAATAAAAATTATTAGTTATAAATTATATAATAAAAATAATAGTTAATCGATAAACTGTAATAAAATTTGATAACAAATAACAAATTAAATAATTTTTTATATTTCTAATAAATTTAGTTTAAAATAAACCACTCAAAAAAATAATTAGAAAACTATCATTTTTTAATAATTTAAATATTATTTTTTAAATATTTTATAATTATATAAATTTTTGTAATTATTTGCTTACGGTCTGATAATTTGATAAAATTAGAAATTATATATAGATTAATAATACTTTTTTTTAAATAAATTTATTGAAATAGAAAAATAATTATCTAAAAAATTATAAATACTATATATTATATATTATTATTTATATTTATTATTAAAATCAATAATCGATAAACTGTAATAAAATTTGATAATAAATAAATAAATTAATAATATTTTATATTTCTATTGAAGATAGCCAAAATAACCTGCACAAAATATAATTTATTTAAAAATTTAGTTTTTTTAAAGTCAGTTAAACCATATTATATAATTTAAAAGAAGTTTATTAAAAAAATATATTTAATTTTCAATATTTTATTAATTTATTATTTTTATAGACATATTTTATCATAATTATTATAGTAGAAAATAATTATATATAAATATCAATATACAGTATATTAAAATTATTATAATTAATTAGTTATAACTATATACATTTTGTATAGATTTTATATATAAATAAAATTTTATCGTTCACGATGACTAATTAATTATGATTAAAATTATTATAAATATATATATAAATTTTTAATAATTTTATAACAGTTCGATATTTTTTTTTAAATTAGTAATTTACTATAAATGAAATTACAATTTTTCTAATTTTTTTACAAAAAATACTATCTTTATAACACAAAAAATATTTTATACAAAAAAAAATTCAATTTATTTTCTAAAACATTAATTTTATTTATAACTTATTTTATAATTAATAAATAGATTTAAATATATTTGATTAATAAATAAATCAAATTAGTATATGACCTTGTCAATTTGTATTTATTTATAATTTAATATTTTTAAAAAAGATATCTTCAAAACTATCCTAAAGTTTATAGAATAAATATATATACTTAAATTAAAATAAACAATAATTAAATAATTACAGTTTAATTAAAAATATTAATGTTTGTTATTTTATGTTTAAAATAATAAAATTCAATAATTTCATTAATGTATTTATTAATAAAACTTGATTACATATAAACAAGTAAATAATTTTATAATTTCTATAAATGTTAGATTTTAAAAGCTTAAATATTAATAATTTGATTATTAAATAAATCAACAATTAAGCTATTGTTTTGAAAATATAATTTTATTTTAGATTTGCTTAAATAATTTATAAAATTAAACATATATTTTTATTAAACAAGTAATGGATAAACTGTAATTAAATTTCTTTACTAATAAATAAATAAATATATTATTTTTTATTAAACTTAGACACTATAGCGTGCCTCAAAATATTATTTATAATATAATTTATAGAAGTATAGGTTTTTTTTATAGTCAGTTACACAAAAAATAGTAAAATATTAAATAATATTTAATTTTAAATTAATAATAATATGTTAAAATATTAATAATATCTACATTATACAAAATTCAAAAATAAATATATATATATATATATATTATAATTATTATTATTATTTTTTACAATATTATTACAAAATTAAAATCATTAATCTGATTAATCTAATTATATATTATTATAATTATATTTAAAAAAAAACTTTCAAATAATTTGCTTACATTGTTAATAAATAAATGAATATTAATTGTATTTAATAATATAGTTCAATTTAAAAAAAATTATAATCTGAAAAATATATTACTTTGATATATTTAGTTTATTTTAAATTAAAAACAAAATTTGAAATATTTATTAAGTTAAACATTATTTTATTTAATAATATAGTAATACATTTTAAAAATTAAAACTAAAGTAAACCTTTTATTAAAAAATTTTGATTTGAATTATATATGTTATAAGTGTACATAAATTAATTAATTATAGTTTCTAAATTTGAAATAAATATAAAACAAAAAAAAATATAATTGTAAAACTGTAAACATTAATAAATATTGTACTCATAATAAAAATAATTATTATTGATAATATAAATTAGCTTAGAGATCATATTAAGTTTAAATATTTATTCAAATTTATTTTACTTTAAATTTTAATATTATTTGATAAATAATTATTTTAAAAAATAGTAAATAATTTGTTTGTTTAACATACCAGTGCCCGATTCATTACACGTATGTTTGTGTGTTAATAATATATTAATTAACATTTAACAATAATAACAAAAATTTTATATAAAACTTTACTAATTTTTAAATGATATTGATAATTAAGTTTCAATATCATATTAGTAAATATTATTTTAAATTATTATACAAAACTAATTAAAAATTAATTAAAAATATAAATAATTTATTATATTAGACTTATTATAATTCAGATTTTTTATTTTAATATTTTATGATATTTAGTTGTTAATAAATAAATAAATATTAATTGTATTTTAAAAAAGTATTATTATTATTTTTTATTAGATTTTAATTATTATATAAATTTTTATTTACTAATTTGATATTTCAAAATATATAATTGTTAATATAATTAACTCACATCATTGATAAGCCTAAAAATTAAATGTTATAACTAATAATTGGATTAATTATTTGTAAATTATATAACAAAATAAAAATTTGAAAAAACAATAAATTAAATAATAAACATTTCAAAGCTGATTTAAATTATTTTGTTAAAAATTGACTAAATTATTTTTGAATGTTTTGAATATTAATTAAATACTAATAAAAAATTGAAAAGTATTTATTTTATATTTCATTAAAATACTAGCTATTTAAAAACTGCAATTTAATTTAATAATGATTTTTTATATTTTATTTTTTATTTAAGATATATTTATTTAGTCACTTTGCAATATAAAATTATATTATTAATATTTTTAAACAATAATTTTAATAATAAAAGCTTATGCATTTATATAAAATAACTTAAAAATTTTTTATTAAGATATAATAGTTTTTTTTAAGTATAGCTAATAAGCAAAATCTTATAAAACTTAATTTTTTTAATAATATTTAATGAGTTATTATTTTTTTGCTATTAATATATAAATATTGTTATTTAATTAAATATAGATTTATTTAAAATTATTAAATTAATCATATAGATATACTGTAAACTATTTCAATTTTGTTATATTTTTATTAAAAAAAATTATTTATATTTTATAGTTAGTTATGATAAATGTGTAAAACTAATTGTTTTGTTTATAATAATTAAGTTTTATTTTATTAAATATTTTTTATTTTAACTGTAGAATAATTTTTTTAAAAAATAATAAATTATGTAATGAAAATATGCTTTTTATAAAAATATAATAATTAACTAAAATATTTTTAAATAACAGTTATACAATATTAGGATATAATAGTTTTTTAAGTATAGCTAATAA